GTTAATTAAGTCACTACAATACACACAATAAGCTTTGCCTGCTACGTCTGGTTTCTTCAAAAATTGTCCAAGAGCTTCTGTAACTTCGTCGAACTTGGAACCAATTTTAACCTTTACAGTGACTTTTCTGTCAAGCCAGTCCAATCGGAATTTATTCTTGACATTTGAGTCAATTTCTAGGATTAAAGACCCCTGATCTTTCGTCAAAAATTTCATAATTCCGCTCAAAACGATCCCAGAACAATGAATTTGCGAGACGAACAGGCCGCCATGAATCAGGTAAAACAATGTTACATGCAATTTGATTGGTCCAATCGCTTGTAGTTAACCAATCGCTGGGCCGTTTATAATCGAGCTAAGACTTCCGCAACAAATAATGCCTTCAGTGATCTGATTAGTTGAAGCTTTCATACACGTCCAATCGCAGGGCTGTTTACAAACGGAAAACGGAGAGACTGTTCGGGAGAGCTCGTGAAAACTCGACAATAAGGTACCTGACCGCCCCTAAAATTTTCTCAACGGATTTAGACGATTCACAAAAATGATCAATTTAAGAAATAAAACGGCGGATTTCCGCGGAAAATTGCCATGTATGAATATATATGACTCCTGAAACATTCCTCAAGCGATGGATGGATAAAAAAATTGCGGTGATTAATAAGTAGATACAGGTAACAAAAGCTATAATTTTCACCAATTAGAAACCTGAATAAAGTCATTTCCGGAAAAGGCAACACTCAATCCTGGAATTGGTGTGCTCTGATCAGATTCTATCTGGAAAAATAATCAAGAACTAATTCCTGGAGGCTTACAAACTTTTAGATAGCCACTCCCCGAATATTGATAGACCTCTGATAATGATGTCATATATGAATACCTTAGTGTCAATCAAAACAGATAAGTACCTGAGGCATTTTCGAACCAGTTCTCATGATTGAACAGATGCAATATTGTGCCGAGGAAGCGTGTATGCCTACACTGCCATCTTGAGGCTGTCACTTGGAATGAACGCCAACGACAACCGTGAATTGTAACATTTATTTGAACGGTTTCAAAGAGAAAAAGATGAAAAATACGGAGGTCATCTTTAAAATAAACATATATTTGCATTGCTATAAAACTCAAAATATTTATCTTGGAACAATTGCCACCTTTGTCATTGCTGAAACTCTGAAGGCAACCAGGAATGGAGGGAGTCTCAATCTGAGAAGACGTGCAGTCGTCCGGACGCGTTGCCGCCCAGGATGGCGTTTCGGGTGGGGTGGAAGGCCGTGACTGACAGCACCGTGCTGAGATGCTCGTTGTCTTTGAATATGTGCAGAAGCCGACCGCTCTCGTGGAACACCTGCACTCTGCGAGGCCTTGACATGCTGCCTACCAAAAGGCAGTCCTCCTGTTTGGGGTCCCACACGGCCGATAGTTTGGACAGCCAGCGACCAGTCCTCATGTCATGCCTGCGAACGGAAAGGTGAAAAAAAAAAAAATCTTCACAGGGAGAGAAACATTTTCCAACATTGTTTCTCACAGGGAGAGAAACAATATTCCACTGGGGACCAAAACTAGAAAAGCACCACATTTGATCCCTTCAGACATATTTCAAACTTTTCCCATGCGATCCAATTCACAAATGTATAAAAGTATCATAATGGCCTCTTTGTACTATGGCTCAACTCACAAACTTTTTCGCTGGCAAAAAAAAAAAAAAAAGGAAATACCTGGTCTGCCAGGGGTTCAACATTGTAACATTTGAAGATACATGGCGAGAAATTAAACACACATGCGGATGTTAGCTCATGATCTGCCTTAGCTGTGTTTTGCACTGCAGTCCTATTTTCTTATGTTCATAGTCCTCTTAGTTAAAAATGTCTTCGGTAGGGATGTTCAATACTACTTTTTTCTGATTGCGAATACTGATACCTTGAAATAAGACCAGGTATCGGCCCGACACCGGTACATAGTATCGTTACTTGCCCATACATAGTCCTCAATTTACGAGAAAGTTACATTCCTGTGGTGGTGACGCAACCTGAATTTTGACTTAAGTCAACTCAAAACGTCTGGTCGTTTATCACTAACCGTTGCAAAGGAAGCAATTGGGTCATAAATATTTGAATGAAAAACACTTCTATGCCATAAACCAAAGACATTAAAAACACTGTATCAGGTGGTTAGTGAGTCAAGGTTGTTGTGCGATGTGACCACAGGTATGTCATACGGTTGTTTAATGCTTGTGAAGTAGGTACCTGATGGATGTCAGCAGGGGCGCTTCGGTCATCATGGCGGATGTGTCATATATTCTGTTTACAAATAAATAAATAAAGGATCAACATGAGCAGCGTCGTCCATTGCACAAACGGCAAGATGGGTGAATGTGCTGATGAGCGCGCACCGAATATAGTTATCCATACAAGAAGTGACCACTCTGTTGCCTGTACATGGAGAGAAGTAACAGCTGGATATGCTTAAAGAGTGACCCTGGAGCTGGGAGACCGGTTGGCTTCTCGTCTTTTTCAAACACCGAGCGTCGTAAATGCTCACCTCCCTGAGGAGCAAAAACTTCATGACTCCAATCCAAGCCCAAAACGAACACATACGAGACATCGACCATCCGCACCTGCTCTCGGCCACGGCAACGTATTGTTGTTGTAGCGGGTGAACACTGACACAGCGTACAACCTTGGGGTCCAACGAGTGAAGGGACTCGTGTGAGGTACTGCACAGCCACAAGAATGTTGAATGACCAGCACAGCCCAGAGAGCAGACTACAACTCAAAACGATACCCTACCCTGGTGTACGCCGGTCCACAATCGCGACGTTTCCATACCAGTCTCCGACCACGAGTGTCGCACAGTCATGTGACAGGAAGTCAAAGGTTTTTAGGCCGTCTTCAATGCCGTACACCTACAACACACGCAACCATTTCATACATAAGAGTGGGTTGGTCTAAATAATTAACTTTGCAGGTAGGCTTGGCCAAGACGGACAGCCACTATCAAGAAAATGCAGGGCTTGCCAGGAAGCAAAAATGTGGCAAATACAAAGATAATCAGAGCTGCAGTACGAGCAGATTTGTGCTGGCGACGTCAAATTAGCTCATAGAGGCTTGGTATTTATTTTGTAACACGTAAGAAGAGCTACATGAAGCTTTGTTTGATGCACAAATGAACATTAGTCAACAGCATTAGCTCATAATGAACAGCACATATGCGATTGCTCTGCTTCTGGAATCGTCCTAAAAATTCTGGGTCCAATTGTGAGTGGTTGCTTAACTGTTTGGAGTTGTAAAGGTCTACGTGTATTATTTTGGGAATGTGGAAGGAACCCACAGTGGCCTACACGTGGAGAACCCCAAAAAGCACGGGAAGGGCATGCACTTTCTTGAGTCTATCAAGATGTCTTTTCCAAAAGAGTCCTGTAGTTTAACTACAAAGGGATTAAAACATAACTCACATCATCAAAAGCTCCCTTCTCCACATCCATGCAGCGCAGGGATCCATCATAGCTGAGACTCAGCAGCTGAGCAGGGTGCGCCTTGGAGAAAGCCAAACAGCCCACCGGGCGAGTGTGGGGCTCAAACAGCAAAACGCCGTCGTCAGTGCTGATGAGCGAGCACCGAACATAGTTATCCATACAAGAAGTTAACACTCTGTTGCCTGTACATGGAGAGAAGTAACAGCTGGATATGCTTAAAGAGTGACCCTGGAGCTGGGAGACCGGTTGGCTTCTCGTCTTTTTCAAACACCGAGCGTCGTAAATGCTCACCTCCCTGAGGAGCAAAAACTTCATGACTCCAATCCAAGCCCAAAACGAACACATACGAGACATCGACCATCCGCACCTGCTCTCGGCCACGGCAACGTATTGTTGTTGTAGCGGGTGAACACTGACACAGCGTACAACCTTGGGGTCCAACGAGTGAAGGGACTCGTGTGAGGTACTGCACAGCCACAAGAATGTTGAATGACCAGCACAGCCCAGAGAGCAGACTACAACTCAAAACGATACCCTACCCTGGTGTACGCCGGTCCACAATCGCGACGTTTCCATACCAGTCTCCGACCACGAGTGTCGCACAGTCATGTGACAGGAAGTCAAAGGTTTTTAGGCCGTCTTCAATGCCGTACACCTACAACACACGCAACCATTTCATACATAAGAGTGGGTTGGTCTAAATAATTAACTTTGCAGGTAGGCTTGGCCAAGACGGACAGCCACTATCAAGAAAATGCAGGGCTTGCCAGGAAGCAAAAATGTGGCAAATACAAAGATAATCAGAGCTGCAGTACGAGCAGATTTGTGCTGGCGACGTCAAATTAGCTCATAGAGGCTTGGTATTTATTTTGTAACACGTAAGAAGAGCTACATGAAGCTTTGTTTGATGCACAAATGAACATTAGTCAACAGCATTAGCTCATAATGAACAGCACATATGCGATTGCTCTGCTTCTGGAATCGTCCTAAAAATTCTGGGTCCAATTGTGAGTGGTTGCTTAACTGTTTGGAGTTGTAAAGGTCTACGTGTATTATTTTGGGAATGTGGAAGGAACCCACAGTGGCCTACACGTGGAGAACCCCAAAAAGCACGGGAAGGGCATGCACTTTCTTGAGTCTATCAAGATGTCTTTTCCAAAAGAGTCCTGTAGTTTAACTACAAAGGGATTAAAACATAACTCACATCATCAAAAGCTCCCTTCTCCACATCCATGCAGCGCAGGGATCCATCATAGCTGAGACTCAGCAGCTGAGCAGGGTGCGCCTTGGAGAAAGCCAAACAGCCCACCGGGCGAGTGTGGGGCTCAAACAGCAAAACGCCGTCGTCACCCCAGTCGCCACCCTGGGGGATGAACCGCAGAGGAATAGAAGAGCAGACTTTGGTCAAAGACACACAAAGGTTGACATTGGCAACACAATTACGGTAAACAAAACCCACCACACTCCAGATGCCCACTTTCCCATACTTGTCACCCGCGGCCATGAGGAGGCTAGTGGAGGCGGGGTGGAAGGCTGCTGAGAAGATGCGCTCCTTCACAACTTTGGCCACTTGGTCTTCACTTATCCTCATTTTTTTCAGCAAAGAGCAGTACCTTCGACAAAGCGTTTACTTCTTAGTATTGGCTTTGCCAACTTGGAATCACAAGAGTAAAGAAATTATTAGCATACTCTTTCAAATCGAGTTCCACTCCTCTTTCTCTGGAAGACACCTGGAAGGATAAAAATAAAATTATTTTATTTCAAATGTATTTGGAAAAAGGCAACAAGGTACCCCAAAATATTACGTTGTGAATGTAATACAACATGATAGAGCTGAGGGAGTGGGATGAAGGTACTGTAATGCCCTCACAAGTGGGCAAGGACTTTTAAGTAACATGGATGAGTGCTCTATTATCATGTTGGAATGTCTTTTCATTAAATTAGCCTCAATTCCCATGGGAAGTTTACAATTTAGAATATTTCCCACCTCAACTTCCCATACAATTTACTGGGAAATTTCCACCCTGTTTGGAGTCTTTACCTCTGAGCAGAGTTGGAGAAATTGAGGTGGGAGCTCGCTTCCTTCGGCCATGTTGACTGGCTCCATAGGCAGAGGACCTGGGGGCTTCTTGGTCTGGAAGGGCATTCAAAACAACTGATGTCAGATGGTGGAAAAGACAACACAGAGGTCAAGTGCAAGAAATTATTTTGGCGGCGCTACCTGTTTCACGACTTCCGTTTCTCTTGGTTCTGGGGGAAGAGTGAGGACCTCTGCTTGTTTGTTTTGGAGACGCAGGGACCTCCGAGATGGGACGACTTCTTTTACGACTGCGGGTTTCCTGCCACCACAGAAGAAAAGCATTGCAGATGCAATAAGGTGACGCTCCGATGTTGTTGGTTTGAAATGAAATCAAGGAGCAAATCACAAAGTCGAGATCTAACCCGCACCTTGTCAGCCCTCTCTTCGATGGCTGCCGTCTGGCTGACGATTGCTTTAAGTCTTTGGATGCCTTCAGGGAAAAATGTCAAAGATTAACAAGGGATGATACTTGTTGTGTGATGAGGGACAAAATGCCTGAAAAATCAGGCACGATAGAATAGACTGGCATGTCAAATTGATCTGCATTAGGGCTGAAACTAACAATGACTTATTTCTCTTGATTAATCGGATTTAAAACGCATTTTGTTTTCCGTCCATTTATTCAAAAGCATGACATTTGACAGTGCAAAAAAATGTACAAACAAAAATTATGAACATCCAGTAACTGGTTTGGTATGTGTCATGTCCAAAAACATATAAAAATGTTCTTCATTGTCTTCCAAATTAATTGGATTGGATTAATTAACTGGAATGTGGGAGGAAACCCGAGTACTCGAAGAAAACCCAGGCAAGCACGGGGAGAACATGCAAATTCCACACAGGAAGGCTGGAGCCGGAATCGAACCCTGCATCTCCGCATTGTGAGGTCGACGTACTAACCAGTTGATCACTGTGCCACCCTGTTTATGTACTTAAAGGGGACAAATTAGGGCGAGGTGCTTTTTTAATTGTACACGGTTAAAAGTGCTGAGTTAAAAAAAAACGCAAGACAGCCAACTTTACATTTTCATTTGCTAACGCCAACACCACTCACAGGTCAGGACTTCAAAAGCCAAACACTAACTCGCACGGACGTTGTGAAATAAAGCAAAAGCAATGTTTATTCAATTCATTAAATCGATCGGACAATCTGTCAATGGGAATATTTGTGGAATCATCGATTCTAAAAATATGCGATCGTCGCAGGCCCAATTTGAGAGGCTTTCATATAAGATGGGGAAATAGACATGTGGCATCGCTTTCATGTTACATAGGAACTAAATGTAAAACTGCCATACAATAGCAGTTTGTCATTTACTGGATATGGTTCAAAGCAATTACGTCATTTCTGGTTGCTTCATGCGTAAGATTCCACAATGTCAAGAGCAAGAGACGTAGCCTCAATTCACATGGGAAGAACTGCGATTGAGCTGTAGACATGCTCTAGCAGTTACGTCTGTTCACGTCTGCACTTGTGGCGCAGCTGTAAATGTGAACGAGCACGTTGTTTGTATGCGCTCTTAATGAAGTGATTTGTGTCTGTCAAAATTGAGATGGCTGTTGAGATATGTCATGTGCTGAGCTACCTGAAACAGTTTGAGAGAGGAGAGGAAGGCTTGATTCTGCCTGATATTCTCCAGACGCTCCAGTTCATAGGCCGAGAGTCCTTTACCCTGTCATGACAAACAACGTTGAGATTGTGCACAAGTTTGATCGCCTTTGAATCAATTTGATTCATACTTACATTTGTGACTTCTGCGTCACTATTTTCAGAATGCGAAGAGTCCTCGTTTTCTTTTCGTTGTATGTTTTCCATGTTGTGCTTATTAAGATGTTGGTCAAAAATAGAAGAATGTCACTCTGAGAAGAAGGAGGTGGCTTTTTTTTCCCCACTACACCTGCGCAATCTATCCGATCAGATCCAGAGACATTGGTCCCTATGCCTGTTGTATGATGCTCCTTAGTAAATACTCTGTAATGATTCATTTGGTGTGGGTGCAGGGTGCATTTCTATCTTCTTGTTTTTATATTGTGTATCTTGTTTGTCTATGCCTGAACCTTGAATCTGTAATAAAACAATTCTTTTACCCATTCATTCATTCCTTTTCTAGAGCATTTGACCTTGGTGTGATTATGGAGGTGCTGGCTCCTCTCCAGGTGCTGCACTCCGCCTTTTGGGTTCCCCCATTCCGTTTGTAGAAGCAGGTCCTATTAATGGGAGCTCACCTTACTCCTGTGTCGTGCTCCAGCACGAGGAAGAGGAGGAGAGTAGCGAAGGCGCTTGGATGCCAGGGCGGTTCGAGATGATTTCTGGACGACTTTCATCTGGACTGCCGTTACTTCCTGCCAGGTGAACAACAGGCGTCTCACTCATTAATTGAGCCATCTCTTTAAGGGCTCACTTAATACTGTTATCTCTCTCTCTCTCGGACAAAGCAAAGGCAGCCATATTAAAGTAACCTCCAACAACCATTACCTTGTCGCCGGCGTTGCGCTTTGAGCGTCTTGTCTCCATTGGAGTTTTTGAAAACTCGGCTCGACGTTCCTCGACTTAAAATCCACTTTCGGAACAGAAGCGCCGAGTTGCCGCGTTATACGTTTTGTAACAAGCTAGTGTGGTGTTGTGAAACAGAATGCCGGTAGTTCATTGGTCAATTTTAGGTTGTCGTCATGACAAAGGTGGGCTTTTTTAGCTGTCCATAGCCAATGGACTTCCTAGAAAATGAGCCCCACTTCCGCATGCAGCTTGTGCGCACATGCGTGTTCTGTCGCCACTCCTGCAAGAAAAGATTGTTTTCATATTATGGACGTACTGGCAAAAAAGTTGCATATGTGGTACTGAAGAAATATTAAATAAAAATTTAAATTAGTGATCGCTTTAATTATAAACATTTATATAATTATATCAATTATAAATCCATCCACCCAGAATCAAACTGCACCTCTGCACTGTAAGGCCGACATGCATGAATCAGTCGACCACGATGCCAGGGTTGTGATAAACAAGGTTACCAGTGTGCGCGCCATGATGTTCTTCACAGCCTCCACAGAGCTTTGAGCATCAAGACCAGAGGTACCCAACCAGTCGACCGCAGACTGATCCCGAGTTGACCGCGAGGTGTGTAGAAAAAAAAACATGTTTTTTTTATGTCATGACAGGAAGTCAGTGTTGCCAATTTAGCGACTTTGACGCTATATTTACATATTTGACGCTTGATTCAAGACCAAGGCTACTTTCCCACCCCTGAACAAACCCTCCTTTTGACCTCCCCTCCCCCTCACAGCATACTTGGGTGTGAGAAACACAAAAGGCATTCTCCCCCTGAGAAAGAAGAGATTTATTAACAAGAGGTAATCAGGAAAGGAAAGACGTTTTTTCTTTTGGAAAAAAAAACCCAAACAAAAAAAAACTTCAAATACTGACTCAAGCGGTTGGCAAACAATTGGTCGTCATAGTGCTGCATATTGCAAATATTTCATGTGCCTTTTGGGAGGGCGACTGTGCTGCTAGATCGAGATGTTGAACACTTGATAAAGTAGCAGATGTGTGCCATTTAAGCTTCAGGCGCGTGTCTAATCAAAGCCTTTAAATACATATCAGAAATATCCAGAGAATAAATAAACACAATTTTACTACCGTATAGGTCCTGCTAATACATGGCAATGGACAGCATGTGTTACTCTTCGAAGTATCATACGCAGAGAAGTTATTACAGTTTGCTGTACACAGGGAAAACATATCCATCAGTTTCATTGGTAAAATAGTTCAGCAAAATAATTGACATACATTTGTGTTATACAGTAGAGAGACAGAAATTATATATATATATATAAAGCTAATTTCATGATTAAGGCTTGAAACTATATATAACACTGGCCAGGGAGAGTCATCTTCCATGAAACACTGGGAGTTAAACTTGCTACATGATTTGCATTGCGTCCACAGTGGGAACAAAAGTCAAACCGTGTTTTTCCACAGGTAAAATGCAAAAAGGATCAGTCGGCGCTTACATGAAACATCCCAACATTTGATTTGGTTCAAGCATACAAGAATATGTACCGGATTTCCTCATTTAGTGGCTGGGAGTGTTTATTTACTCAAATGGCTTGTTTTAGGGAAGGCGTTTAATAGGGCGTCGACTTTGGCTCGCACAAATTAATAATAGATTTTCATTGTCCAATGTAGTTATGAGGAGTGCAACGATACACAAAATTCAGATCGATAGATTTAAATTAAAAAAGAGCAAATTATTTAGAGGATTGGTCGTCAAATTTCAGCAGACAATTGAAGAGTGGTAACCACAACTGAGGAAACAAATTTTCAGCATTCAATTAATTAATTGTAATTTCTGTTCTCAAATGGAATAAAGGCTCATGCAGTAAATAATTGTGTATTGATATTGATCATTGATTTGATGATCACAAAAGGCAGCTATATTTTTAAGGCAAAACTTTCATTGCTGGACATCAAGGCCACTGACCGAATTTGGAATTTACACGGCATGGTTCAAGTGACACAATTCAGATTTTCGTGCTCTCAATTTGTACAAATGTCTTGAATCGAACATCATCAGATCGGAATCGGGCCTCTTTTGAACCTGATACATAGAGCATAATGCGAGTGCAGCGTAAACACACAGATCGGATATGCCCGGTCAGCGTGAGCTCGAGGTCATTGACTTCAACCAAATCCCGTCTGCTCAAAAAGCATAAATAAACACATGAAAAACACCTGTTAAAAATCGAAACTACATGTACCCTAAACGTAGCCATAGCTCATATTTGTCACTTAAAATGTACAACATGGAAATAGAGAGTCTTAAAAAAAAACAAAAAAAAACCAGATATTCTGTTGGAATTAAACTGGAACTTTCCACTTGGACCAACAGTGTAAATCCAGCCCAAGATATGTGAGTTATCACACTTATATGCTCTCTCTTCTGTTAAAATAAAAATTCAAAGTATACAGTATATAAGACCATAAATAACATATACTCTGGCAACTATATAAATAAAACCTCTGGGTGTCTACTTAGCCTCTATATTTGACATTGAGGAGAACATACTAGAAGAGCGCAGTTTATACGTGTATGTACATGACGATAGAATAGAACCATTCTGTACACTTGCTATGAAAGTTGAACGAGCCTCTTCACGATGATGTTTTGGGTTCGATCCTCAAGGACGTTTCGTAAAGACGCTCCTCGTCCAGCACGGAGCTGTTGTCCAGCAAGTACTTGGCCACCTGTGACGACAATAACAAAATATGGAATTGTGCTATGCCCCGTCATCGAGTATAAAAAACACAGTGGGGTTAGGGTTTCAGAGTAGTGCTTAAAATTTTAAAGTTAGTGTTTCAAATAAGGGGTTTGGAGTTCAAAGAAGGATTTCAAGTTATGGTTTCAAGATCGGGTGTGTCAAAGTAGGGTAGGGTTTCGGAGTAGGATTTCAAATTTTCATAGTTTCAAAATAGGATTAGGCCGTCAAAGGATTCAAAGCAGGGCGAGGGTTTCAAAGTAGGATTTCAAAGCAGACTTAGGGTTCCAAAGTAGGGTTTTAAATTTGGCTTCGTGTTTCAAAATTGTGCAAGGGTTTCAAAGATGGGGTTTAAAAGTATGATCATGATTTCAAAGTAGGTAGGTTTCAAAGTAGTGTTAGGATTTCAGAACATTTCAAAGTAGGCTTTCAAAGTAGGCTTAGGGTTTCAATGTTGGGTTTAAAATTAAATTTTGAAAGTAGGGTTTCAAAGCAGGCTTACCGTTTCAAAGTAGGTTCTCAAAGTACATTCAGGGTTTCAAAGTAGGGTTTAAAGTAATGGTAGGCTTTCAAAGTAGGTCTATGGTTTAGTAGCCTACTTTGAGGCTTAGGGTTCCAGAGTATGGTTTCAAGGAGGAGTTGGGCTTCGAAATTAGGTTAGGGTTTTAGAGTATGATTTCAAAGAGGAGTTAGGGTTTCTAAGTCCGGTTAGGTTTTCAAAGTTGTTATATTTTCAGAGTACTTTTTCAAATAAGCATTAAGGGTTTCAAAGTAGGGTTACGTTTTCAGAGTCAATTTTAAATTTGGTCAAGGGTTTCAAAGTACAGTTTTTCAAGATGTTTTTTTTTTTGGGAGTAATTTATTAGTCGCACAACATGTGTGCTTAGATGAAAAATGTACTTGTACTGTTTCAAATTTTAGGGACAAAATGCCTGCATTTATCGGCAGTCTGGAGCCCTGAAAGGACAAACAAATGTTGCCTTTAATGCTAAAAATACACTTTGTAAAGTTTGGAGTAGTGCTACAATTTATTGCTAGTCACACAGAGTGAAAGTGTATTCTGTTCATCTCCAATGAGCCGAGGAGAGAAAAAAAACAAACAACAAATCACCTTTGGTTGATTATCGATCTTGTAGGCCGTCTGCTGGAACTGCCGAATTTCTCTGATAATGTGTGATATCTGAGGACAAACAGGAGAGAATGATTGCAGTCATTTTTCGAGAGACATTCCATTTGTTGTCCTTTTTAGAGCACATAATGGAAAACAGCGAGACGATTGCATGAAGATGTCCTTCACCATCCTCATCTTGGAAAAGTTGACCAGGTTGTCCTCCGTGTAGTTGGGTGTTCCTTCCTCAATGAAGGCCAGGTCGGTCAAGTACATGCCCAGGTAAGGAACACAAGGCGGGTCGCAGCTGAAGATGCGCGCGCACACACATACACAGTAGTAGTTAATGTGTAATAAATTTGGAATATTCATTAAAAACAAAACAAGTTATCTCAGCATCATATGGGGCCAATAGGCTGACTCACTTCTTGAGCGCCTCCCTCAGGTTTTTGAAGCGGCCCTCTGATGATACCAACTTCTGCAACTTGTCAATCACTGTCTTCGTCTAAGAAAATCAGAGTATAACTGTTATGGCCTGACAATTGGATAACATTTTTAGAAAACGCATCAGAAGTGCCCAAAACAACATAAGGAAAAGAAGGATAAACAAAGCCTCCCAGAAAAAAGTTTAGAATTGTCTACAGATGCCACAAGATGGTGGCAAAATACTACTTTTGTCTCAAGGAAGCTCTCAATTCACTTCACCATAGTTTCTTGTTGCTCAAGGAAGCTCTCAATTCACTTCACCATAGTTCCTTGCCACAAGATGGAGTCCAAGTAATACTTTTATGGTATTGCGCAGAACATAACAGTGAATGCTGTGAGTTTTTGCGCAAAAAAAAAAGAAAAAAAAGAAAAAGAATGGGTTAAATTTAAAATATAAAATCATTAAAAAAAAAAACATGAAAAAATACATTTTTAAAAACTGCACCTGGAAGACTTTGCGTCCTACCTGCTTGGAGACCTTGAGCCAGGTCCTCTTGAGGCGGAAGATGGCGCTGCGGTTGAGCGACGACGTGATCTCCAACACGGCGTTGTAGTTGTGCAGGCAGCGGCAAATGTCCGCCGCTGCCACCCACTTCTCGATGGCCGCCACCCTCATGTTGACGTCATCCCATTGCAGGATCTCGGTGGCAATCCTGTCGCTGATCTGATTCAAATGAAGCACATAAATTGTGTTCACTCTTTTTTGAGACTCCAACGCGTTAGGCTTGTTATTGCTCTGGTGGACGCACGTCATTGAAGTGCT